TCTGAGATTTCAGTCACAAGTCAGCCAGGGTCACCAATGCTCCACACATTGCGTGATTCAGCTGCAAAACTCTCCGCAGATCGTGGCAATATTTAACTTACAAGTCAGCCAGGAAGTTTAGGTTTCAAGTTAGCCAGGGTCACCAATACTCCGCACATTGCGTGATTCAACTGCAAAAACTCTGTCATAGATCGTAGCAGTATTTAATCCCATAAATCCTCTCTCGGATTGGCGCATGCCACCACCCCGTGCGCTAAACCTGAGATGCCCGGCATTCTGCGACCACGACTCGCGTTAACACGCCCGGCAGGCCTGGCAGGGGAGCATCCAGGAATGCAGGTGGCGCACACACCGTCGTTGCCGCGCTCTGGGCCGTTGCCTCCATTTGCGCAAGCAGTACAGTGACATTATGGCGCTCCCTGCTGTCCAACTTGTTGCCATGTAAACGTCAGTGCCCCGTTTTCACTGCTCTATTCCGTGGTGTGACCCTGCAAGCGGTGACCTTGGATGACGTCATGCCACACCGAGATGCGTCATGGAGCGGCAAACAACAGCGACGAGGGCAGTCCACCTGGGGATCGCGGCGGCGGCGGCGCGGCGAGATATCGGTGGAGCTCTTGTGATGAGACACGTCCTATCAAGTTTCGTATCACGTGTGTAGAGGGCACTGCGGCTGAGGCGTGGTGCCGACGCTGGGACAGTCGCATCGAGACAGGCGGTGACTCCCGAGTTCCCGGCTGACGCCCGACGAACGGACGTTCGCCCGCGCGCGCGCGCCGGTGGACGGTGTAGGACAAGTTCATACAATCGGGCGGACGACTGCGCAGAGCAAGTGACCTAGGCAGAACAAGCGCACGTTGCAGAACGTCTGAGTTCTTCGTCGCCTCGGCTGGACGCTGCTCAAAACAGGTTTTTTATACCGGTCCCAGCCGGCGGACTCGCTGCCATGGCCAGCGTGATTTTCTCGACGCTCGCGTGGCTGCTCTCACCGCTGTGGTGGCTACTGTCCTGGGTCTTGAGTCCGGTGCCGCTGGCCGCTCTAGCGGTCGCCATCGTCCTCGGCTACCGCTATTACACCAAGGACTTCGACTACTGGAAGTCCAAGGGAGTACCAGGCCCGCCCGCCAAGTTCCCTTGGGGGCATGGCTTCAGTACACGCAGCCATGGAGGGCGATTCCCCGTCACTGAGTTCGAAGACTGGTTGTACAACAAGCATGGAGGCAAGAAATACTGCGGCTACATTGAGCTGAAGCGGCCGGTGCTATACGTTGGCGACCCTGATCTGATCCGTGCTATCACCGTCAAGGACTTCGATCATTTCACTGACCGACGGGACCTGGCGGTCTCCAAGGTCATTGAAAAGATGTTGAGCAGACTGAATGGCCAGGAATGGAAGGAGACGCGAGCGGTTATGTCGCCATCGTTTTCCTCTAGCAAGCTGAAGGCCATGCACCAGCTTTGCCTGGACAACGCGGCCAAACTCAACCAATTCTTGCGGGAGGAGATGCAGCGCAAGGGCGAGGTGCAGCTGAAGGACGCCCTCGGCCGCTTCACCATGGACAACATCGCCTCATGCGGCTTCGGCGTGAACTGCAATTCATTCGTCGACCCAAACACCGAGTTCGCTACGCATGCCTCCACGCTGTTCAAGCCTCCCTCCGGGTACGCCATGTTCCGCCTGATGGTCATCATGCTCTTTCCGAAGTGGATTGGTGATTGCCTGCCGGATCCTGGGAAGGCTGCCACCGATTTCTTCCAGCGCGTGGTCAACAAAACAGTGGCTCATCGTGAGCAGCACGGTTCCGAGCAGAGAGATTTCTTGCAGCTGCTTCTGGAGACCAAGAACAAGGACGGGCAGCGCGCCCTGAGCGACTCAAGCATCGTCGCGCAATCGGTGCTGTTCTTCCTCGCCGGCTACGACACGACGGCTTCGCTGTTGACTTTCGCCGGCTACGCGCTAGCCACCAGCCCCGACATCCAGGGCGCTGTTCAGCGTGAGATCGACGAGGTGCTGGCGAAGCACGACGGCAGGTTGACCTACGACGCCGTCTCGGAGATGACTTACCTGGACCGAGTGCTGGCCGAGACACTGCGCCTGTACCCGACTGCCAGCCGTTTGGAACGGCGCTGCTCCAAGGACTACATTCTGCCCGGCACAGACGTGCTCGTCAAGCGCGGCATGATCGTCGGTATGCCGGTCTTCACTTTGCACCGCGATCCTGACCACTACCCGGACCCGCTGCGCTTCGACCCGGACCGTTTCTTGCCCGAGGAGAAGGCAAAGCGCCACCCGTGCGCCTACATACCGTTCGGCAGCGGGCCGCGCAACTGCATCGCCATGCGGTTCGCGCTGTTTGAGGCGAAGGTGGCGATGATCGCCGTGCTGCGGGAGAACAGCCTGAAGCCGGGGTCGAGCACACCGCCGCCGCCCTTGCCGCACGACCCCTACGCCTTCGTGCTAAGGCCCAAGGATCCCTTGTTCCTGAAGGTGGTGCCCCGCAGTGGTGACGAAGCTTAATGGCGGCGGATACCATGACTTCAATGTGTTGGAAAAGGAGCGTTTTGCAAGAATTGGGTTTATTTGCACGCCCCGCATAAGGGATCATTTCAACTACACACACACACACACACACGCACACACGCACGCACGCACGCACGCACGCACGCACACACACACACACACACACACACGCATGTAGTGTCTATGTATCGTTGAAATCGAAATCATTCACATTCCCCTGTATTTTCATACCCGCCCGGGCTACCATATGAAATGAACCCCTGTTTGACCTTGCGAGAAATGACAGTTTCCCCACCGACCGTTACCATGCGTTTTATGGTTCGCACCGAACCAAACCATACGCGAGCTGATCCAGCTCCATAAACACTACATTTGGCGACGAGGTATTTTTTGAACTCGCCGGAGAGTTTGGCATACTCCAGCACCCTGTACCTTATCTTAACGGCAAGTTATCTGCCTGTCGAGGTGAGCCAAGATGGCGGCCGCGATATCGCCGCCCGCGTTACCGCCGTTCGACCCCAACGAACAGCCCGTTGTCCGCGATGGACCAAATGGTTATCCCGCTTTGATAGCTACCTGATCGCAACAAATATCACTGATTCCAACCGAAAGAAGGCTTTGTTACTGCAATACACAGGAGAAGCCGTGCACGACATATTTGACGCACTGCC